CCCCCCCCCCCCCCCGTCCCTCCAAACAATTTTTGAATTCAAAATGGTGAATTTCGCCGAAAGGTGACAAGTTCGCATCCCTGTATATTTGCCGGCACTGACGCCGTGTCTTTCCTGCAGATGTATTGTGTAGCTTCACTGACCGCTATATATGCCACCGCTGCCATGCAGGTAGGTAGTGTTGCTACTGTTATATTTGTGGGCACTGCCGCAGCGCGTTAACCTACTATGAGTAGCACCGGCTGTGCCGCTGTCTCTTCTTACAGATGTGTAGTGTTGCTTACATTGACCGTTATATCAACTGGCGTTACAACTAGCATAGCTATGTGCGACTGCATGTAATCTAGCCCAACTTCAGACTCTTGCATAGAGCCTGAGCCAGCTGCGAAACCAAAGAACTCGTGGAAAAATCCGTTCAAAGAATGAGGAACGTGCCGCAAAGCATTGTAGTTGGATCGACAATAAAGTCTACCCGATATTTTACTTCTCTTACGTTCTCTTGGTTTCACTGATTATTGCGGGCACTATCACTGGTTGTCTTTGTGCTATGGATGTTCCACTGTGCATTGCGACAAGTTGCAAGACAGAATACAGGAGATACTAGTCTGTAGCCTATCAAAAAAAGTGCTCTCCCTTAACAGAAACAAGCATAAGCAATAGCGACAATAATTCTTTTAAGTGAGTGGATGATATGGACGCTCTCTCTGTCAGCGAGTCATGTACAGTTTTCAGACCTAATGACTGCAAGTTGTGCTTAAACCGAGAAAGGGTTACATATCCAAGGTGCTCTCAACGGCTTTCAGAGCCTAGGTGATATCTCTCTCAGCTTTTGCTCCGAGCGAGTGTGCGGCGGGGGAGAGTCTCACCTGCAGCCTCCCTGCCCTGTGCGCGCTTTCCGCGTTTATGTGGATAAAAAAAAACATTCCAAAAACAAACTACTGGTGTGCAAGCCGACTATACGAGAGACATGCCTCGTCATGGTCTAAAGGGATATCTATTGAGGATATATGTTCAGCGGCTGGATGGGCTTTGCAGAATAAAATTGCCACGTTTCTTAAACAATGGCTTCCCGGGTCCTTTCGGTTAAAGTCTGCTCGCTCAAGGTAGGCCAGTTCCCTCTCGAACTTTCACGAGACATCACGGAGATATTTCTCCGTTATGGGAACTCCTTCCCTTCCAACCTTTCCTGAAGTCCTATTGGCTCCCGCCAGTCCAAATGACTGGCCAATTGATGCGAAGTATGCAAATCGCATGCAAATACTGACGAGCTCGAGAGGCAGTATAAAATGCGGTGCACGCGACAATTACGTCAGAATCTTCTACTTCACCTGTTGAATTCACTATGGCAACAATCTGCAAGATCTGCACGGGACCAATAGAGCCGCCGGATCAGCATGACTACTGCGTTGCCTGCCTGGGCCTGGCCCACGCCGAGGCGGCGCTGGACGAGTCCAACTGCGGGCAGTTCTCCGGACCCGCCGCGATGTGGCTCGCGGCCTATTCGGGATGAGGCCCACTGCCGCCAACGTGCCGCTGGTGGGCCCTCCCGGTGATGGGAGCGTCGTCTTGTCGCTCCACCAGCCCCAACGATCGCCCTGTTCCCCTGTCTCACTCCCCGAGGACTGCTTCCGCCCACCTTCCAACATCGCGGAGTTTGTGTCCTTTAGCCAGGAGGAGGGGGATGACTCGATGTCCATCTCGGCCTCGGAGAGGGAGGATTGAGCGGGATTGGAGTCCGATCAGCCGGACAGCATGGGGCCCCCTGACCTCCAGGAGGAGCTCATGAGGGTTCTGTCGAAGGCTGTCCAGGAGTTGGAGCTTACCTGGAGTCCTCCAGAGGAGCCTGCGAGGAGTAAGCTCGACTCCTGGTATTTCAGGTCCACCCAGAAAGCTGACTCGAGGGCGTCGGTCCCCTTCTTCCCTGACGTACATGAGCAGCTGGTGAAAACATGGTCTGCGCCCCAATCAGCGCACGTCCACTCTGCCACACAGGCCATTTTTTCCCACGTGGATGGGGCGGAGGCCCACGGGTACGTGCGCTCTCCCCCGGTCGAGGAGACCGTCGCTGCGCACCTGTGTCCTGCAGCAGCCAAGACCCTAGGTTCAGACATCAGCCTCCCCTCAAAGCCGTGCAGGACTACCGCCCATCTTGCCCAGGTTTTTCAGGTGAAGCTCCTGCAGGCAGCGGAGGGCGGAGCCCTCACGGCAAAGGCCGTTAAGGATCTACGCGCGGCAACGAAGCGAGTGGCCCAGGCTGTGAGTAAGGCCATGAGTTTTATGGTCGTCCTTCAGAGGCACCTTTGGTTAAACCTAGCTGACCTCAAGGATGCTGACCGTAAAGTGCTGTTGAATGCTCTGGTGACTCCCT